AATCTTCACAAAGCTCTTTTTTGATCACTTAAAAAAAATAAGAAAAACACTCAGCCCATAGACAACTTTATTGCACCGCAAACAAAAATTGCGTATGAAACACACACAAAAGAGAGCAACACAGAGGAAAATGTATGTATGTATGCGCTAACAGCATTCACTCCGCTCACTCCATTACACACACTGCTGAAGAAATGGCAACAACGCGAAGTGCAATAACACGCATACGATGTCTTCTAGCTAGCTCGCTTGCTCTCTTTGCTCTCCTGCTGGCTGCTGCATATACAAATTACAATTGCTCTCTCATTTTCGCACTGATAATGAAAAAAGCTTTGTATGGAAAAATGTCAATATATTTTGCAGAGACTTAGACAGAACTCTAAACAAAAAACACATAGATGCACACTAAAAACCCGATAACTTATTAAAATAAAGATTATGCAAGCATGAGCTGCTAATTCGACCGATCAACAGGACTTCACCGCACAGACTAAATTTGCATGTGTAGCCCAACGAGCACTTGCACTACTAAAAGGGCAAAAGAGAGCACATAACTAAACCAAAGCACGATTCTATGCAAACACAACTTAAAGTAACGGGATCAAAAGCAACTGGCTTGAAAGCGCTCTTTCTCCTGCTCTATGCTAATCATTGTTGAATGTAAAATAAAAAGCTTTATTAAGAATGGGTACGCGGTGTCTTAATGAGATTGAGAGAGAAAGACTTAACTCAATTTTATAACATATACAGTGCTTCACAGCTTGTTTCAACCAGCACCAAAACGAACAAATTTTTAAATAAATATTTAAAAAAATTGAAAGTTTAATATTTATAAAAAGTGAGCTCCTTTATTTTTTAAATATGTAAAAAATAATCTACAAACTTGATTACGAATAATTCCACAGCATGGAATGCTACTTCTAATCCCTTAACACTATTTTATATCTTTAAAAATGTTTAGAAACTCAAATATATTCTTAAAATCCTTACCATATCCTTATATATTCTTTATTATATATATAAAATATATATTTTAATAGAACTGTAATTATATCTCGTAAAATGTTTGCTTTTACAAACGCTTCAATGGCCCCTCGCAGCAAAGACTTTGTGAAGTGCCGGAACAGCCCTCGGGCACCCACACGAGCATGTCATGCAGCAGCAGGTCCTTGGGCAAGTCCTCTATCTGTAGCACTCACACATAATTGGTACACTTCAGAGCTTCGCTCTTTGAATCGTTATCAGTCCGTTGCAGACGCTCGTTCAAAGGTTCGCAAATCGCTTTCAATTTTCAGCCCACATATTCAAAATGCCACGCCCCTCACTCTCTCGACCGGCCCCTTCCTTTGCCGTCCGCCCTCTGGTCATTTAACTGGTCAAATAGAAAAGCGGGTCGATTGGAAGTTGGGATTAGGCTTTCCCTTCAGCTGGGGGCTATTATTTCTCTCTCTTTGTGTTTGTGTGTGTGTGTGTGTGTGTGGCATGTGGCATGCCATCTCCTCCTCCTCCTCCCTTTCTTCCTCATGTTCCTGACTTTTTCTCCTTGCTTAGATCGGCTGCTAAAGATTTGGTATGTGCGAGTCCTTTGATAGATTTCGTTGGCTGCATTTGCAAATTGAATTCCCATTTTGTGAAATGTTCTCTCCATTCGGCTTCATTTATAACAATTTAATGAAATTTTCGAATGCGTTTTCATAACGGTTCTTTACGCATACGACCATACGAGCACTGTGTGGAAAATCATTAATCAAATGGAAAAGCTGCCAGGACTAACGAAAATTAAGTTTCTCTGCTACAATTTTTATTGCTACTTTTTCACGGCTTTAACTTGACTTCGATTGTAGTGGTCGCCCACTTAAGGAGGCGTGTGTAATGAAAGTGTTAATGTGTGAGAATTAGATAGAGAAGGCCTTAAGTTCATGGAGCATACGAATATGAGAGAATATGTTGATATTTCTTAAACTTTTTCGATGAGCTTCTTATGAACTTAAAACATTTTTCAAGTATCTAACTATATGAAACTATGTATATTAAATGGCTCTTAAAACAACTTTCTGCCTTTAAAATTGCTTTTTATTAATCTCCTTTAAAAAACTTTCAGTACCAAGAATTGAGTCTTTACCTAATGTTAACAAATTGATTTTATTATTTGCCAATTCATTGAGAGCGTGAGATATCCTCTCTAAAAGAAGATGTCTCCAACAAACAGAAAAATCGTGCTCGCAAATTATATATAGACGACATATGTTCAATTTCTGAATGAATGCTCGCGTCTTTGCTGCTTTGAATTTCAATTGTCTGCCTGTGTGGGCACTAAAGGGGCGTGGCCATGTACATACCACCCCTTTTGCAGACATTCTAACGAAAAGTTGCCTTTGTTCTCAAGTAAATACAAACAAGTAGAAGAAGAAGAAGCTGAAAAATTACTGCGAACACAATTGAATTACAATGAAAATATGAAATGAGCGACAAAAAGGAAACTTTTTTCCTATTTCATTTTATTTTTTATTCTTTTTCATTAAGCAAACAAATGGGACAAAGAAACAAAGCGAAAATCAAACTGAAAAAAAAAATAAAAAAAATTGGGAACGAAATGTTTTAAAGTGTGAGTGAGGCTAGTATATAACTAAGAGGCCCCAAAAAAAAAAAAAAAAAAAAAAAAAATTTTTTT